CGCGTATGTGAGCTCATGGAGGGTCATGATAGGGCGTGGAAGGAAACCATGGAGGCGGAGGTGAAGCTGCTATGCGCCAAGGAGGAGACGATTTCTAAGTACAAGGAGTCTACAGAGTTCCAGATTGCCATCAACGATTTCGCTACGGACTCCTCGTAGACTGGCTTTTCTTGCTTTCGGAGGAGGGTCATGTGTGAGCACCCTGAGATCGCTGCAGTCATGGAGCAGTACGATCCCTTTGATGCCGAGGCGCCATCAGCTGAACACCCAGCCCCAAACAACAACATGACCACCCTCGAGGAGATGACCCTGCAGATAGTACGATTGACCTGGACTGATGTTCTCTTCTCATCTTTTTTTGTTGTACACAACTCAGTATGCTTTGCTTATAATTATTGTATTAGCCTTTTGATTAATGGAAGTTTAGTCTTTTTGCCAAGCACATTCTGTGTTGTTTCTTTTTTTTTTCTAAGTCGCTCTACTTCGGAATTAGGTTGGTTGGTAGGGTCCGTAAGCCAAGCTTCTACTTGTTCTTAGGCTAGTCGGGGTCTCAGACTTGACGCTATACAGATGGGGTCTTCGACTTTGTCACCTCAGTCTCATGTTGGTTGAGGTCTTTGGTCATGGCCTCGATTCTCATGTTGGCCGAGGTCTTAGGCTTGACGCTAGATGGTCATGGTCTAGGGCTTTATGCTCGATGTCCAGGGTCTTCAGTTTTGTGGCCTCGATCTCATGTTGGTCGAGGTCTTGGGCTTGACGTTAGATGGCCAGGATCTTTGGCTTTGTGGCATCGGTCTCAAGTTGGCTGAGGTGCTTCCAAGCTCTCAACGTTGTCGAGGAGCTCGATGGCACCTAGTCTTGGAGAGCCTTACACTCTTTGACTAAGCTAGGCCTGGTCCTTGGTTGTCTCTGCTTCGACTGTCAGTCAGTTGGGTGCATGGAGTTTGATGGCCATATTCTTGTCGTTGTGAAAGGGGCGTCGTTCCTGCGGTGCCTGCTAAAGGCTTGTCCTGGCCTAGACCGTTTACGATTGGTCAGGTCTCTTGTGTGGTGATTGTCAGGGCTCGGTAGTTTGAGGTCAGTCGGGTCTTTGACGAGGTCGTTGTCGTGCTGTGGTGGGTTAATGCGTGTGGCGTCTGTTAGTGGTGCTGTGCACACAGTGGGTTAGCGGCCTCGGTCGTTGAAGCTTATCCGGGCTGGTGCCCAGGTGCAATGGATCGGTGTTCTTGGGCTGTTTAGGGTTTGGCCAGACTATGTGCGGGCGTTTGCTTGTGCGCGTTTCGAAGAAAATATTTTATTTATTTTGAGTTTGTACAATGCTATCCGGTTTCCGTTAGAGCTCGGCACATGTTGTTGTCAATGGTTTGCACGATGCTATTCTAAGTTCTCGTCATTCCATCTCCTCCGTGTCTAGTTGTTCTTTGTCTTGGAGGCCATCCCACCCGAGACAACGACGATGACCCTAACTATGGGATCTCGGGCTAGGGGTGCGTTGGCATGGCGTGGCTCCTCTCTAGTATTATGCTCTTTGATGTCGATGAACCGAAATAGGTATCCATACCAAACGAGGTGTTCTAGGTGATGGTGAAGGTCGTGACAACTTTCGGTTTCGTGGTTGTGGTCCCGGTGGAATTCGTAGTACTTGTCCCGAACTCTCTTGTTGACTTGAATTTTCATTTTTTCAGGCCACTTTTGCTATCTTGGTCCGATCTTTGATCATCATTGTCTTTTTGCTTCCGATCGTGTTGGTCCTCTTCATTCCTACGTAGTGCTTGGGCTTCCTCGGTGTTCATGTATTTCTATGTGTGCTTCATGAGCGCAGCTGCAGCGAGAAGCTGAACATTGAGGAGTGCAGCCTGCTCATGATGGCACTTATGGCCACTGATTGGTCTAGAGCTCGGAACTAAAGGGCCTTGGCTTTGAACCTCGCCAAGTACTCTCTCAAAGTCTCTCCTTTCTTTTAGCGCACTTGCATGAGGCTGGCCGAAGTCCTCCAGTGCCTTTGGCTGGTGGTATAACCGTGTTTCCAATTGTTTCCAAGAGGAAATGGACTGCAATGGAAGGGAGGCGTACCGGGTTCTAACGACTCCATGGAGGGTGGTGTCGAAGGCCTTGCACATGAGACCCTTGGATGAGCCGTGTAGCATCATTTTTGCCTTGAACCCTTAAATGTGATCGTTAGGGTCCGTGGTTCCATCATACTTCTCGAACTAAGGGGGTTGCCTTTTGGTTGGGGGGGGGGGGGAGCTCGTCAACGATCTCTTGGATGAAGATGAGTTCCTTCGTGGGTTGTTGGTCGTGGTGTTGTTCTATTGGTTGGGCCATCGGAGGAGCTGCACTATGATCTAGTTCGGCCAGCCGTTCTCATGGATCTTTGATCTCAACGTCTCGATTAGTTGGGGCTACGCCTGCATGATTTTCTGGTTTTGGGATTGCCCACCAGTCTCGTGTCGAGTTGGATTTGGCTATCGAGAGTGGGGACTAGTGCTTGTGCTGGCCGAGCCGTTCTTTCACCGAGATCCTGCTACCAAAGTGATGGGATTTGCTGAGCATGTGGGCACGGGACCACGCTTGGGAATCAAACTTCCACGATGGTGACTGGGATCTCTTTCGGTCTGTGCAGTGCCTTTTGGGGTCCTCGATTCAGGTATCAATCGTCGTAGGCACCTGCGCAACGGGGCAAGGAACTGGGGGAGCCTGAGCCAGCTGTCCCAGTGTCTCCATCATGGCTAGGATATGATCAACCTTTTGTTGCATGGCATAGAACTGGGTGGGGTTGACTGTAGCCTGAGGTTGAGGTTCTTAAGGTGGAGATGTACGAAATGAGATGGATCCCCGATACGGGGAGTGGGTTGCAGAGCGGTTGGATGCATTCTTTGGCATGATTGCGTTTGGGCACGGTTAGGAGATTAGGGCTTAGTTTGGAATGAGTACAAATACAAATATGTATAGTGCAAATACATACAAAATAATATAAAATATGAGGTTTTGCACTCTACATATTTGCATTTGTACTCCTTCCGAACTGAGCCTAGGGAATCAACTTTTTGTACAGTTTCCACAGACGACGCCAATCAGATGTTGTCCGATCTGAGGTGTTCCGAACTGAGGCTACAATTAGATAGTCCTGCCAAGTAGACGAGGCCAAGGCGGAAGAACGAAACCGCACATCGAGGTCTGCAATCACAGGAAGAGTCAGAGGCCCGAGGAGTTATTCCCTAGGTAGGCACTCCGACACTCAAGTTAGTGAGTGGAAAAGAGGTCGGTCAAGATGAACCGAAGTATGTAGGTTGGTTGAGACTGAAGTAAATGCAAGAAGGGTGCTTGATTGAATTCTGAGCACAAAAGTCCCTTACCTTGAACATGACATACTTATTTATAGCTAAACGTCTGTATTCTAGTTGAATTTGGCATCCGTCGGAATGAGGTTATTCATCGAGATATTTGAGGGGTTCTCTCTTCCCCAGCGGAGTCCGCTTCCTTGTCCTTGTGGGACACTCCTTCCCGATCGTACTGTCCCATTACGTAATTGATACTAACATGGCCCGAAAAGAACAACCACGGAGTCTGCCATATGACGCCCTAGGCCAACTCGACAATCACCCAAACAGTAGTTACAGTACCTACCAATGTATAAACTAAAAAATGGTTGTTATAATTTTTCTTTAATAAAAGATAAGAATAGTAATATGCGAATAAACCGAATAAAATTATAAATACAATATACTAGTGAAATTATCAAAGTATCAAGCTGCACCTCAGTGGATTCATGGACTTCGCCCCCACACCCCATGGGGGCAATGCCCCCGCACATAAAACACATAATCATAGTACAACATTTATGAACTCGACCGCATAAGACCATAACAATAAAACATAAGACATCTGCAAAACAAATATGGTGAAAATTTTAATTTACAAATTTATAAATTAGTTTTTATTGAAAAATATACTAGAATAAATTTAAAGTAAGTATTTTTTATTTTATTTAGATAGAGAAGATTATAAATGTAAAAGAAAATTAAAAATACATAATAAAATAAAATAATATATTATAAAGTAAATATATAAATTTACTTTGAAAGTAATAAATTGCAGCCTTAATATATACTTTGAGCCTTAGTTATCACCTCCACCATTAGGCTTTTAAAACCTTGGTTCTCACTGACATATAGCCTTTTCCCCCAAATGATTGTTAGATCTTTTTACAGAGTTCTTTTCATGATGGCTTTCACTTCTGTGCTGGAGAGCCCATGTAGCCCTCTCAGTGCAAATTTCACTCTACTTTAAACAGTCTTCAGATTACCTGTGAGGTACGCTTTGATCCAATTTACATGCAATACTGTAAAATGCTCATTGGGCCATACCGATTAACTAGGTGGTTCTCAGACCTGTTTACGGGCCAGGCTTCAGGCCTGAGGTTATACTGTATCAGACTTGGGTTTCAGGCGAGTCCATTCAAATTTTGAATTAAGTCAAGTGTGAATCCGGCCCATGAATAGGTTTTACACTTCTAGTCAAGACACTAAAAGCTTTGGAACTGTTGAACTAATGTGTAAAGGCAGGTAAAGTCGGACCGGACTAGTTGATTTAAGAACCGGTCAGGCAACTGTTTCACACTGAAACTATTCGTGGGCTAAAAATCATTGACTTGGTCAATAACCTCTTGATCTGATTATGATTTTTCGTTTTATTTATTTATTATTTTTAAATCAGAACGGGCCATCCATTGAAATCAGATGGTTGGACTGTTTGCGTTGGACCATAAATATATAGAATTTAAGAAATTATAAAGTAACACAAGTGGCGAAAATGAGAATAAACAAAATAAAAGAAAAACAAAAGAGAGAAAAGAGAAAGGGAAAAGAAAAAGGAAGCTATCTGAATGCGAAATTTGATATTCTAATATGCTTTTCCTTTATATATATATATATATATATATATATATATGTCCTTTTACAGCAGAGAGTAGAAGCATAAGATTTCCAGGAATTACATATTAGAGCAGAAGAAGGAGAGAGAGAGAGGAGGCATCATGGATAGCAGGTTATACACGGCGGCAAGACTTGGCAAAGTGGAAGTGCTTGATCAACTTGGGGATGAACAGTGTTTCCTCCTCCAAACAACTCCTCAGAAGAACACCGCCCTTCACTTAGCTGCAAAATTCGGGCACGGTGGCTTTGTAAAAGAGATGCTGAAGCGATGCGATTCACTTCTAAAGCAAACAAACAGCAAGGGTGACACTGCACTTCACGTCGCATCCAGGATGGGACATGTGGAAATCGTTAATATTCTACTAAATCATGATCATCAGCATGGAAGCAGTAGCTGGAGAGGCGATATGGAGGAGGGACAGAACGAAGAAAATGAAATGGAGGAGGTATTGATCAGGATGAAGAATAAAGAAAACAACACAGCATTGCATGAGGCGGTTAGGCACGGAAACACACAAGTCGTAGAGGTGTTGCTACGAAGAGATGATGACTTGGCATGCATTGTTAATAGCGCTAGCGAATCACCGCTTTACTTGGCAGCGGAGAACGGATCGCTGGAAATCCTCAAGACAATCTTAGCTATCGCTGCTGTGATCGTAGAGGGCGGACCCGATGGTCGAACACCTCTACATGCTGCTGCCATAAGGGGACACTTTGGTAAGCTTATTTATTTATTTATCATTCACCATCATTTTAAGTTGGGGAGAATGATCAATAAGCCTAGATCAGAATTTTAAAACTCTTATAGTACAGAGGAAATGCATCCTCATCGTGAATTGATGTCGTAATAAGGGGAGCTGGAATTCAGAATTCTGCATCGGATGCATCCGTACTTCTCCATTTAAGTTAACAATGGCTCGTAGTATCGTAATAAATTAGTAATGAACCCAACCATCCATCCATTATCTTGGGAAGGCAAATCAATATACTTTTTTAGTTTTCTTTTACTAAATAGGCATCAGATCCCAACTCATCATGCTATCCGGGATCTTTTACCAATAAAACATTATCTGACACCACATATTTCATCACGTGATTGGGATTCACCATGATTGGGAAATATATGGTAAGTACGGACTAGAGTTGTTCATATGGCCTAGTTGTGTTTGGGTCAGGTTTTATTTATGTATGAACAGAATATATTCAGGCTTGAGCTTGAATTTGATCTGATCATTAGGCTTAGATTTTCAGTTTGAGCCCGACACTCATATAAAATTCAAAGCCTGGGCCCAAGCTTGGTCAAAAATTTGAAAATATTTTTTTTTATTTCTTTTTATCCAATCAAGTCCGTAGCGTCTACCAATTTCGCCATATCCCCTTTTTGTTTTGAGACTAGGATCTCATTGTGATGCCATCCHCTTCTTTCTTTCATTTATGCTGGAACCCTTGAATTTTTTAGATACCGATTTCTATATCGAAAAGCTGTTTCCTCTTATTTGATTTCTTGCCTATCTTTTTTCATCTCTATTGGGCATGTTGGGCTTGGGCTTGGGCCGGGTTTTTTTGAGAAAATCCGAGTCCGGCTTGAAAAAAGTCGGGCTCAGTGCTTTAGGCTCAAGCCTGAGCCTGCGGGCCTAAAATTATGACCAAGCCCAACTTATAACGGGTCAGGCTAGGCCATCGGGCTACCTGGCCTATGAACAGGTCTAATCCGGACTCACTATTAGGGTGTTGGGACGTGTGTTGTTGGTAGGACATCTGGATTCACTATTTGGGATGAAATTTGATATGGGCCAATGAACTCTTGGTTTGAATTTTTTGGATTGGCAAAATTTGAGTTCAGATCTGCACCCCACAACGTCCCACAGCACCTCCCTGTCGTATATCGAGAACATCTCTTGATAATACTATCATCAGGAGAAATTCCCAATACATGACAGGGATGTGCTGTGGAACGTTGTGGGGCGCCCCCTTGTGGGGTGCCTATGTAAACTCGCGAAATTTGGATTTTGAATGAGCTTTTTTAGTCCATTAAGAGTTCCGGCAAATCAAACACATTCTAATGAAATATCAATATTTCAGTCTTCTAAGTCAAACATCATTTGCTTTTAGAACAGTGTGAACATAGTCTAATGATCCTATATGTATTCATGAATGTATGTGTAGACTATTATATCTTTATTGATATATTTACCTATTTACCAAACACCAACAAATGTTTATTAGGACGGTTCCTTTCTAAAAAAGTACTTATTATAATAAATGTTTAAAAATAAGCACTCCCAAACATTCATTGCAGGCTTTGTGATGAATTCATAAAAAATGTAGGTTAATTAACACATAGTTAATGTAGATTTTTTATCATGTATTAATTGGGTATTGTGAAGCCTGGGTTACTCAGATTGGGTCAAGGTTATACACTTCATGGATTGGACTCATTGGGTTGCGACCTTGGTTGGGTTAGGCTGCGTTATGTTAGAATTGAGTAACCTTGCCTCATGCTAGGCTTGGGTTACAGAGTGGATAACTGGATATGACAACCAAGAGCAAGAAATCCGATTCAATTCAAATTTCAAATCCCTGTATATTCATGATCTCCGATCGATCAGTTTTATTGTAACAGACGCTACATATTATAAGCTGAAAGCCTGAAAGCTATTATAATTTTTTAAAACGATCGCCAGATCATATTATAAGCTATTACCCATTTTTAATTGCCGAATAAATTAATCAGAGTTGGTAGTAGAGCTGCTGAATCTGAAAGAATGCCCGGAGCTTATCCGTCGGGCCGATGCATTTAAAAGCACCGCTCTTCACTACGCCTCATCAGCCGGCAACCTTAATATAGTCCAGGCGATACTGCAAACCGATCCTTCCGTTACATATCTCTTAGACGAAGATGGGTTGTCTCCTCTACACTACGCGGCTGGTTCCGGCCACACTCCAATCGTCAACAAGATACTGGAATATTGTCCAGATGCGGCGGAACTTGTCGACAAAAGCGGCCAAAATTCTCTCCATGCAGCAATCGAGAATGAAGAGGTGGAAGTGGTTGAGGCGTTGCTGAAAAGATCAGAGCTGGACGAACTCATTAACGAGCCTGATAATCAAAAGGATACTCCCCTACATTTAGCTGTCAACAAGGAAAAATATGCGATAGTGAAGCTTCTGCTAGAAACTTCTAAGGTGGATCTCAGGGCTATGAACAAAGATGGAAGGACTGCTCTGGACGTCATTGAGCTCAAAGAGGAGCGATCATTCCAGCAGGTAATTCATTCATCCCTTGGAAACTTGGATGGTTCATACTTCATTCTTGCTAATTAAATAAATATAGGGTAAATTGTTAAAACCTGCTCTCAAGTTTTCGAGGGTTGTTGAAATTTCTCTTTAAGTTTGGTAATTGCAATCACCTTTTTTAGACAGTTGCAAAGGGTTGTTGAAATCTTCTCTAAATTTGGTAATTGCAATTACTTTCCCTAAACTTTTTGATACAGCCGCAAGTAGACATTCTTTGTTAGAATCCTCTATGGAAAGACACTAAATGTACCTATACAGTTACTTTTGACCAAAATCTTTATTTTCCATTTTCTTTTCATATCAATCACTACCTCAAGCCCTTTCATCTCTTTTTGAAAGTTGATTTATTTTTCAAATTTGCTTCACATCAATCCTTTCCAGATAAAACTACAACTTTAAACTCTCATTTTTGTTGTTCATAAGGTTTATATTATTTTTGCTAGCCACAATATTAATTTTATAGGTATTTTAAACATTTTTGCACCTTTTATTAAAATATTTTAATAAAAAGGATTTATTTGCAATTAAGTCATAAAGTTTATATAAAGTAATTGCAATTACCAAACTTCATAGAAACTTTAAACAATAATAAGAAACTTCAAAAAAGGTTTAAACAATTTACCCTTAATAATCATTATCATGGTTATCATCCATGCCTTATTCGATGTTCTGCTACATCAATCCTATTTTGCCAATCCGTTCTATCGTTATTTTTTTTCGAAACCATATCCATTAAACGTAGTAATATATTAATAATATACTTTTAAGGCAGTGATATTAATAATTAATTTGATTGTGACAACTGACATGCCTCTAGGTTCTAATGTGGAAAGCTTTGAAAAGGGCCGGAGCTGCAAGGGGCCAGCGCAGGCATGGCCGAGAAATGCGGCAACAACCAACATCGAGACCAAGAGGAGCAGACAAGTCCTACAAAGCCATGGCCAACACTCTTACAGTAGTAGCAGCTCTCATTGCCACTGTTACGTACTCAGCTGTATTTATGATGCCAGGTGGAAACAAGGATCGTGAGGGGGCTACCACATCCATAAATGATGTAGCATTCAAAACTTTTGTCATATCTGACACAATTGCCATGTGTACGTCTATGATTGTGGCACTTGTACTGGTGTGGGCAGTGCCAGACGTCCCGGGAATGCTGGTTAATGCAGTTGGCTGGGCGTTGTGGCTCATGTGGATCTCACTGGGAGGAATGATAATTTCTTTTGTCACCGCAGTGTATATTGACGTATCAATCAAGTCTAGGTGGCTTGCCGTTGTTGTGTGCATCATGGGTTGCAGCGTTCCCTTCCTAGTCACGCCCATCGTCACTGTATCAGCTCGTCAAACTCCACATGCCAAGAGAAATTTCCAATATGATCAAATCCAGCAATCACCATTACCTTAAATTGAATTGTGGTGAGTGGTGAGTGGTGAGAATCCTTTTACCTCCATAAATTATAGAATATAGATGTGTGTTTGTGAGTTTGTGTGTGATGAGAAAGTCATATATTGATTCCCCAAACCCCAAAGGTACCATTTAATCACCATTTTATTTTTCATATGTACTGAATATGTTAGAGGTTGGAGCATTAATAACACTATTATTTTTTGGCATATATCAATGCGGATTATTGCAACACCATTTTTTGGCCATATAATATGAGTTCAGCTCTTGTCCACGAGAATCCTGTTCACGTCTACCCACAATATACTACCCCCCGTGAATTGGGAATATTTCCCTCTGCATAATACTATATAGAGGATGAGATGTTCTCCATCTATAACTGTAATAAATGTGGGCAGAGTTTGTGTAGACAAGAGATCTGGACTCATATAATATATATTCTGGCAGTGGCTAAAACTATTGTTCTTGAACAGACCAATGAAACGGTCCTATATGGCTAAAATTGTGGTTGTCTAGCTAACATTAAACATTCTGTTTTGTCTGGTGTATACATATTTGTTTCCTTTCTATGTGACACGTTAGTCCATAATCCACATATACAACCATACCTTCAACATTGTTATTATTGTGTTGAGTTGTATAAGGCATGATTTTAAAAAATGGTTCAGAAATAGAACCGTTCTAACAATCAGTTTCTGGGTTGATGATTTGATCGTTCGGTTTGAATGGATAGTTCATTTTAACAAAAAATTAAAAAAATAAAACATTAAAAATAAAAAAACAGCTAAAAACTGTTGACAGTTCGACTGTTCAAGTTAATAGGTCATTCAATGATTCAATGATTTTTGATCAGGGACCGGATTTCAAGTAAAACAGAATCAATTATCTAAATAATTCTCGGGCCGAATGGTCCAATCATTCGAATCAATGGCGGTTTAAAAACCATGGTATGAAGTAATATATAGCGTAAAGGGAGCCCTGTGGACACAGTACAGATTATTGTTAATAAGGTGGCATTACCAAAATTCATTGGGAGAGGATTTGATATATATTTTGATTTGTCAAAGCTCTTCTTCTAGTATCACATGTATTTGCCCGTATAATTTATATATTCTTTATCCACCGATAACGGAATGAGTTGGTATGATATCATTGAACCGAGGACTTGAACAAAGTGAAGGTGCATCGATCTTTTGAATTCCTTGTCAAAAGTGTCATTGAGAAACAACTTTAATGGCAGACTCCAATGGATATCATCACATAAGACTCTTTTTCTCTTTTATATATTTTATTGTAATCTTTAGAAAGAGTGAAACTTAGTATGCATTTGGTTTCATGGGCATTTATTAATGGGGTGTTTTTCATATTAACATTTATTTAAAAAACTTTACTTTAAATATTTATTGTTTTTGTTGTTTGATTTGACATTTTATGAGTGTTTTAAGTTATATCCCTTAAAATAACTTTCCACATCAATTTAAACTACATCATAAAGCATTTTTTTTCAATAAATGCCCAGGCATTGGGAGAAACAAGAATTTAAAATTTCTCCGATGCCTCATGCACATAAATCAAACTGTGGTTTCATGCACAATAATGTCAATGCCTATATAATGATAATGTGGCAGCATTTTTCAATAATCGCCCACGAAACCAAATATAGCCTTCGTACATCATTTTTTTCACCGTTAGCAGTAAGGATACATTGGCAACAACTTTAATATCAAATTCTTTTTTTTTTTCTTTTATTACAAACTACATATTAGAGAGGCCACAGGAATCTGGGCAGAACAGAGCAAAGTGCATATTAGACCCATTGGCCATACTACAGAAAGCCTGTAGTTGTGTGCATTTGGTCCCATGCCTTCTCATTCAGAGGGATATTAAGGCTTGTTTGGTAATGGTCTTGCTTATTTCTATTTTTGATTTTTATTTTCTTTTTTTTTTGTTTCAAAACATTTCTCATGTTTTTTGGTTTTTGAAAAACAAAAGATGCATAGGCCCATCCATACCTTGTGCTAAAATTTAATTAAATATAACATGCAATGAAGATGGAATGCTAATCGGTTGTTTTTTGAGAAACGAAAGATCAATCATAGGCCCGTGCATACTTTGTGCTAAAAAATTAATTAAATATAATGCGGCAATGAGGATGGAATGATAAACCACTAGGTCAAATGGGCTATGATACTATCTTCAAGAACTGTTCAACCTAAAATCTTTAACCTATTAAATGCAGTCCTTGAATAGGTTTTTATTCTCTAACATAACTTAGCACAAAAAAATTTGAACTCACATAGTCGAACAAAGTGCAACATTGACTTAACCTAAAAAAATGTTAGAAAACACCATAACATTGAAGTCACTATTTTCAAAACCGGACTGGATCGGACAGTCGGACCGGAAAAACCAGGAACCGGTCACTTGATTGGTTCTGTTTTCCTCCAAAACTGCTTTTTCCCTCAAAACCGTTGATTTTGATCAACAAACCGCTGAACCGTCCGATTAACCGTTCGAACGGTTTTGACCATTTTCCAATTTTTTAGTTTTTTTATTTTTTTGTCAGAACGAACTGGCCATTCAGGTCAAACTGTTCGAACCGGTAACCGGACCCCTGACCAATTTAATCATCGATTCGTTTTTAAAAACCATGATTGAAGTATATCCTTACATTTCGAGGCCATTTTCCAATACGATCTTGACATGGACTCACTAGACAAACCAAAAAAGCAATGGAACTACATATAGAAATGGAGCAAAGGAAATCAGAAAAGGGAAAAACAACAAATAATAGATGTTACTTGGCCAAAGATCTTGTCACCAAAGATGGAAGGAGGTAGCTGAATTCTAGTTCAGATGGCAGGAATGGGAGAGCTTAGTCAGTAGGTGCGGTGAGATGGTTATTGAAGAAGATGTTAGGGTTTTTATGCCCCAAGGGCCAAGGCCCCCGACATCTCTTTTTTCAATCAATATCTCCTTTTTTTTTCCGGTTGAAATGACCACTTTGTCTCACCTCTTAGATGGACATTTGTCCCCCTTGTTTGTAAAACTTAAAATACATTGTAAATATCATGTGTTCTAAAGGAATAATTTGAGAAAAATGATGGCTTCCTCATTTATCAAGAATATATTTTTGCAAGGATGTTCTCATCTAAGAACAAAATATTTCTCACCATAAATCGGTTTCAAACACATTTTTGCAAGGTTTTCAAAAATGAATCGGACAATGAATCGGTCAGGGGTCTGGTTTTTGGGTCAAACAGTTCGGTCATTTGAACTGAATGGATGGCTCATTCTACAAAAAAAAAAATAAAAAAAAATAAAAACAGTCAAAATCATTAGACAATTCAAATAGTTCAAACGTTTGAATCAACGATTTACTAACCAAATCAACAGTTTTTGATGAAATAACGGTTTTAGGGTAAAATAGAGATCGGTTCACGATTTTTCCGATCCGACCGTCTGATCGGATCCAATTTTGAAAACCATGCATTTTTGTTTCGTAGAAACATTTAAACATAAAAAATGTTCCTACATAACATGCCAAAATGGGGCATGAATGACCTTAGTCAACTACCGTATCGTCAACATCTAATCATTCTCAAACATGGGGCATATTTATTTACAGTTAATAGCTAGTTGGGATGCATGAGATTTCAATTGAAACAAGCTTGTCTAAGGCCAATTTTGGCATAAATTTTAGGATTATGTTTAGGTTGCTAGAATGTATTTCAAGTTGCACCCTCTATGTCCAATGCGCGGGTTACCAATTTCATATGAGTTAGGTTATTTTTATTAAATAATTAAGTAAATTATAAACCATCACCTTAGACCCGGCAATCAGGTTGGGTGGGTCAGGATTGGGTTTGGTCTAAATACTTTGGGTTGATTTTGGGTTAGGTTGAATTTCATGATAGGTTGTCAAATACTAGACCCTAACCCTAAATGTTTGGGTCGGGGTTGACCCATGGATCAATTCGAGTCATCCCAAAAATTAAAGAAAAAATATATGAAAAGTGCCAAAATTAAAGGAATTAACCTTAAAATTTCAAATATACAATAAAAAAACTTGAACATTTAACAATTCAAAGAGTAAACAATAAAGGGTAAAGACTAAATAGTAAAAATTAAAGAGTGGAAACTTCTAACAATGCATAAATAGTCCTAATTAGAGTATTAGACCCAACAATTGGGTCAGTGGATTGACCCATGACCCAACCCAACCCAATTTTTTTTCTGGGTTGGGTTGGGTCGGGTCATTCTCAAATTTAGGTAGCTAAATATGAGATCCTAACCCTGTTTTTCGGGTCGGGTCCGGTCGGGCTCGTGGGTTGGGTCAAGTTTTTATCAGGTCTAGTTAGGGATGCAAATGGATAGGATCGAATTCGACTCAGGGTATATTAGAATCCGATCCGACATTGTTCATGTCGTATCCGATCCAATTTGAAGATCCAATCGGATCTGATAGGACTCGATTTGAATTCAAATCCAATCAATAAGTTGGATTTTCGGATCTAATCCGATTCAACTTGTTTTCTTTAAAAATTAATAAATTATTAAAAGCAAATTGAAATATACTAATTTAAATAAAGTAACAACAAAAAATACAAGTATTTTTTAATTATCATCATATATATACATGTTTTTTATAAAAATAAATAATATAACAAATTTATAAAAACATAATATGAAAATATATTTATAAATAAATAAATAACATATATATGTATATATATATATATATATATATATATATATATATATATATCGGATTGGATCTTCTCGGATTGGATAGGAGGTGATCTGAATATGATCTGATCCAACCCAAAGATTTGAATAGGGGTGATCGGAATTCGACCAAATAAGATTGGATCTTGATCTGATCCATTTGCACCCCTAGGTCTAGTCATATTGTATTATTTTTTGGTAGAAAACACTACACGAAAATTGTGCTATAGCTACCAAACTGTAGCTACAGACATAAAAACCGTAGCTAGAAGATGGGATATAACTACGGATGATCTCATGTCCGTAGCTATAAATTAAACTTTAGCTACAGACGGTTTCTTCGTGGCTAGGTTAAAAGAAGCCTATAACCACAGTTTTTAGGTATCCGTAGTTATATGTTAGAAAATCAGAAATAACCTATAGCTACGGTCACTTTGTTAGTGGCTAAAGATTTCATATGGGTACAAATTATTTATAA